ACGGATGAGTCGGAGGTGCGCATTGTTATATCCATCTGAAGATCTTTTTCTGCTTCTGATTCATTTTTGAGTAGGCCATGGAAACAGACAAAGATAGTGAGGATGATGCTTCAAATGGAATTGGAGCGCTTTGTGAAAATATATTCACCGACGAGGAGCATTCGGAAGAAGAACCCAAGCCACCAACTGTCACAAAACCCTTACGAATTAGGCCAATCAAATTGGTCAAGCCAAAACCCAAACCCATCACTGAAGCAGATGAACCTGACGAAACTCCTTTTGAACCTGACAAAACTCCTTTGAGAGAGGCACTTACTTGGAGTACACACAAGAATGTGGATATTGATCTTGTGAGTCAATTGTTTTCCCATGTACTCATGACTTTTCCTGATTGTTCATCCCCTCTGTTTCCCTCTTGAATTTTTGTTAGTATGAGTACAAAGACAGCATCAAGCCAGCAGGAGTAATATCACACATCTTACACGTTAACGACGTCAAAGGCGATGGGAACTGTGGCTTTCGAGCGGTTGCGGTCAGCTTGGGCCGCAAGTCTGACGAATGGGACTCAATCCGCGAAGAAATGAAGAAGGAATTCGAGTCGAACAAGGCCTATTCAGACCAAAAGTTCTTGGATAACGTATGGGGAGCAGGGGACAACCAAAAGGACATTGTCGGTTCTCTTGCATGGAGAGACAAGGAACAGCAAGCCCCCCTCAAGTACTGGATGACGTCTCCCGCGCATGGTTATTTAATTGCTGATACCTACCAACGACCGGTTATTTTATTATCGGAAAAGATGCCCTCCACTTATCTTCCTCTTTCACATACTCCAAGAAACAACCCTCCCATCTGTCTGATCCTTTTACCTGACTATTCTCATTTCATCAGTTTCACTTTCAAGGCTGAAATATGGCCATGCCCCAGGATCGATACATTTTGGAAACACTATGTCAGTGATGAAGCACTGGGTTGGGAGGATTGGATTCAAGCCAATGTTGAATTGGGTCAAGAAGTCTTGTACCCACCTGTCAGAAGATCTTTGCACTTCAAAAAGGCTCCTATTGATGTTGAATAATATTTTTCATTACTGTTCTCTGTACCTTCCTCTGAATCCCTGCGCTGTGAGAACTCCTTTGGGAATGGTGGCAGTCCTGTGAGGGGGAAATAGCAGATGAGATATATCACGTATGTAATGATCTACTACAACTGTTATGGCTGGTTTGAAAGACCTGCCCCTCTATCGTACTACACTAGAGTTAACACAACAATTTATTTATTGTTGTGGCAAAACTGATGATAGAGAAAACTATGTGTAGCAGTCTCTTATCAAACCTAGATCAACGTGGATTCAGCAGACTATTTGAGTGGAAATGTTGAGTAAGAGATGTTTTTTGTTTATATGTTTATGTATTTTGAAAAAATGATTGACGTATGTACTGATGATGAATGTGAATTTATGGGATGATATTGAGGAAAAATGTGACTATTGAAAGTGTCTTTCCCTTCCTCCTTGAATCTTGGTCCGGAGCACAATGGTTTAAGATCACTGTCTCTTGTTTAAGATCACAAGTTGTACTGGTTGCTACTTTTTTTTTTCCTATGCTTCTCAATGTCTGAATGATCTCAATGGGGCACTTGATTAAGATCACACTGGTTAATGTATGGATTGATTGCTCTGTTCTGTCTGGTTGCTGATCAGATGAGATGCTGATCTGTTGTGATGAGATGATGAGATGATCAAAATTTGGAATGAGGGGGGAACACCCCTCCTTAAATAGTCTATTTTACAACCCGGCTGACTTGTGGTTCTAGCCCTAACCAATAATCTATAAATGGCCAACTTGTGGTTCTAGCCCTAACCTATAATGAATATGCATCTAATCATCTGGCCAAATTGTAGTTTTGCTACTATACAAGATTCTCGGTGTACCTACAAACAATGTGGCCAACTTGTGGTTACACTATGCAATAATCATTTTTTTATGCAAATAAAATTTAAATCCCAAATAACTTTTGACTGAGTGGAGCTAGCCTAGTGGTTCCAGTGAGTGACTATGGGTTAAATGACCCGTAGAATGTGATTATGCCATAATACGCCTAAGAATATATGCCCTTCTACATATTGAACTGTGACTTTATGCAATTTGATACTTGAAACACAATTGGCATACTACAGCGCTTGTCTCACTTTTTATTTTAAAATCCACCCTACGCCTGTTTATTACCACACTCTTCTGTAAATTCAAATTTGGCCTATTTAGAATATTCTAACATTTTTTTCCTTTTTTTCATTGAGAAATTCAAGTTCGGAAGGTTGAATAACCACCAGGAACTTTCCACAGTGCCTACATCAATAAAATGAGTGGGAGCAAGAATTAAAACGCAAAGGAATCATTTTTATGAAAAATAAAGTTTACCATTAAATTCTACACCTTTTAAAGTGTAGGAAAAAAATTTACAATGTCAAAAAATAATGAAAAACAAGCCGCTAAGAATTAATTGAAAAAATGAGTGGGAACGGAAATTACAATGCATAAAAATAATTTTTATGCAAAATAAATATTACCACTGAATTCTGCACCTTTTACAGTGTAGGAAAAAAATTTACAATGTCAAAAAATAGTGAAAAACAAGCCAGTAACAGTTAATTGTAAAAATGAGTGAGCAGGAAAAAAAAAACCAAAGTCATTTTTATGGAAAATGGACTTTACCATGAAATTCTACACCTTTCATAGTGTAGGAATAAATTTTAAAATTTTGAAAAAACTCGAAAAATGAGCCGTAAAAAATTAATTAAAAAACCGTGTCTAAATGCGGAAACCGCGTGTGCTGCGCGCAGCCAAAACCGCGTCAAAACGCGGAAAAACAGCGTTTTTTTATTAAGGCCCTAACAAGAAGTCCAACCAAAAATCAAAAAAGGAAGGTGATATTTTTGGACAACAATGAAGATTCTTCCAATTAGTTATAAGTTGTAGATAGTTTAAAATTTGAAATAAACTATTCAATATGAACAAATGAAAAAAGCAACTTGGGACGGATGTTTTGCGATAGGGGGTTGGAAAAACGACTCCCAAAAATTCGACGACAACTCCCATTTTGGTCGAGGGGTTGTCGGACAGGAGTTGTCTTTCCAATTCCTCCTGGGGGATTGGGAGTCGACCTCCCAATTCATTTTTTTTTGGGTGGGAGTCGGCGCCCAAAACCCTCCTTGGCAAGTGGGAGGTTTGGGAGTCGCTTCCCTCCCACTGGCCAGGGGGGATTCCCTCCGGTCATTGAGACTGTACAGTCTCAATGACCCCAGGGAATCTCTCCCGGCCAGTGGGACTCGGAGGGAGGCGGGTCTTGATGACAGGAAAGTGATTCTTTCCAGTCATCAAGAATGTACAGTCTTGATGAGACCATTCGATGACCGTAAGGAATCCCTTCCGGTCATCAAGACCATTAACCAATGACTGGAAGGCCCCCTTCCAGTCATCAACACCATTGCAATTTTGATCCGGCCATCGAGATTGTATGGTCCCAATGACCGGAAGGAATCCCTTCCGGTCATTGAGACGATTTGAATTTTGATTACCGGAAGGAATCCCTTCCGGTCATCGAGACGATTCGAATTTTGATTACCGGAAGGAATCCCTTCCGGTCATTGAGACCATTGATGACCGGAAGGGATTCCTTCCGGTCATCAGGACCATACAATCTCAATGGCCGGAAGGGATTCCTTCCGGTCATTGAGACTGTACACTCTCAATGACCGGAGGGAATCCCCCCCAGCCACTAGTGGGAGGAAAGTGACTCCCAAACCTCCCACTTGCCAAGGAGGGTTTTGGGCGCCGACTCCCACCCAAAAAAATAAAAAAATAAATTGAATTGGGAGGTCGACTCCCAATGCCCCAGGGGGAATTGGAAAAACGACTCCCGTCCAACGACCCCTTGACCAAAATGGGAGTCGTCGTCAAATTTTTGGGAGTCTTTTTTCGAACCCCCTTACAATAAATATGAAAAAATATAAAAGTAAGATTCTTCCAATTAGATGTAGATATATTAAAACAGATATGAAAAAAAAATGCCAAAAAAGTGACTTGTGAGTGATATTTTACAATAGACATGAAAAAAAAATAATAATAATAATAATAATAATAATAATAGAGTGACTTGGGACTCTGGGAGTGTAACTAGGTGAAAAAGAGAAGAGAGGTACCTGAGGTACCTGAAACAGGTACCTTGGGTACCCCCCGGGAGGTGTCTGGTGTGGTACATGGTATCTATTTTCTTGAAAAAATGAACAGGTACCTAGGTACAAACAGGTACCTAGGTATAAACAGGTACCTAGGTATAAACAGGTACGTAGGTCCAAACAAATGATCTCTAGTTGAGTTGCCATTTTAAAATGGTTGAGTATATCCCAGTTTAACTGGGATAAATTCAACTCAGCCAATTATGCTGGTCATGAAGTCTATATTTTACATATGCTTCACTCTAATATAAAATATTTTTTCCTGCTGCACAGACAAGACTTCAGTTTCCTTATGCAGGCTCATTTCAAATCATGGAGGGTTCATTTCTTCTGTGGCAGAAAACTCTTTTCCATGATCTATGGCAGACATACATGATGGTTTGTCTGAACTTGATTTAAGATCAAAAACAAGAATGTAATATTTCACATAACTTGGGTTTAAAATTTTCGTGTTTGGATATTATTTCATCTTCCTTTAGGATATATAATAACATGAATTGATTGATGTGGGGCTTAAAATTGATACTGCTGATGTTTTGAAGAGGACTATCTAGAAAAAAAAGAGAGTGAAAATGGCATAATCAAGATAAACAGGTTTCCACCAGAATGTTTTGGGTAATTGCAATGAGAAATAAGCATACATATTTCTTCTCTACTGAAGCGGAAAATCAAGTCAAAGCTCTACTTATTTATTGATGAGAAGCCAGGGAAATCCTCTATAAACAACATAAACAGCTTCAATTCATTTTTTTGAACAACATTGATCAATCCTTCATACTTTTGGAGAGCCAAAGGGAAAGTTAAATAGCTGAATTCTCCTTGCTAAAGGTTATTCATCTCATACGAATCCTCCTTTCTGTTCCGCAAGTCTTTCGATGTTACATGGTGCCAGTGATCGGTTGAAGTCGTATGGGTTTCGTACGTTTCCTCTTTTGATGGACTCTCAGGTACGCTGCCGTAAAATAGCCTCATTCCCACTCCTAGTGAGCTGATGAGCAACAATGTCCCACATGAATTGATAACTCCGCGATAGTCTTTCATCGAAGGGGTTGGGGTATTGAGAAGCAGCCCGGAGAGGGGCCCGGTCATAATGTTGGCGACGCCGCGCGAGGCCAAAAAGAAGTTGATTATCGAGGCTGATCTTGGATCTTTAGGTGCAATGATCATTGAGAATCGATGCCAAAGGGAGGTGTAGCACGGTGCGAAGAGCCCATCTTGGAAATACAAGTAATTAAATAAGTGGATTTGTCGTATGATGGAACTTGTCTTCGAAAGTGATGAGCCTCGTCAACTACTCACATATTGTGCAGAACCCACAAAACATGGCGAAATCCTTGCAGAAACCCCACATGAGGAAGACACTGATTGAGCTTGTCATGCATGATATGAACAAGATCCAGCTGCAATCCATGAAATCGCTCGCCATACCACCTATTATTTGACTGGGAATACTGGCTGCTGAGTAGAACTCAAGTGGGAGTGCCCCAGAACTTCCCATACTCGTGGCGAATGATGGCATGTATATAACGGGGACGTAGAAAGCTCTGCGGGTAGATAATAACTTGGATATCAAGACCCGCAAAGCGAATTCGCAACATGACGAAAAAAAAAACTCACAAGCTTTGCACACACTGAAAAAAGGGAGTATATAGGAGATGATGAGAACTTGGGTGTTTTTTCTTGTAAATCAGACTATCTATGTCGCTTACGTTTACTAAAATCAAGAACCAAAAAAGGGGCAGCTTCATGTATTCCATGTTCGTACTTTCTGGCTTGGTCCTAGAAGACCTGGGAAGCCTTCCACTATCAATGGATAACTATCGATCAGCGTGTGCTTACCCAAGCAAGGATAAGAATAGAAAAGAAAATTCACTGGAAAAAGGGTAAAAGCATAAGCACGAGGAGTAGCCACAATACTGAATAGTACCGCAATGTCACTGGAGTCGAATGCTTTTCCAAAATCCACTGCATCATAGGTCCCCAGGCTAAACCCAAAACTGCCGAGCCTGTTACAAAGTGACGCGCATTAACCATTGTGATGATGCTAAATGAGTGGGGAAAGATCCCTAGTTCCCTAGAAGAGATTCACCTGAGAATGTGAGTCCTCCTATCAAGCCTCGCTTGAGTACCCACCATTCTGAGAGGTAAATTAGATTGGGGGTACTGAGAAGTTGTTAAGATGATATTCAACTGCAATGTTCGAGATCTTAAACCCCACAAGGGAGGCCACTTGATCATCAAGATCGCTTACTAGATCATCGCTGAATGTAAGAGGGGAAGTAAGATTCAAAATCCAAAACGGGGATGGTTTTATTGACCAGGAGAATGTTTTTTTTTCTACTCACAGCCCCCGATTCCGTATAAAACACCTTGAGTGAGAATCAGAAACACAGCCTGCAAATGCAAGTAGTACCTTCTCCTTAAAACCCCAATCCTTTTTCATGAAAGGTAAAGGTTTTGTTTGACTTGAAAGTAAAAGATTTACCTTGTCGGTGTAACTTGCGCTGAATAAACCAATGAAGCAGAGTATAGAGCCAATCCAGGGAGACCAAATGCAAAACGTTGGATATCTTAACGCCAAAGGAGACAGCACCACACCTGTGCAGTAGAGTAATCCGAGGCAGGAGGTTCCTGATAATGCGAATATGGTGCATGTAGAGATTTTGTCAGGATCCTCGTGATATCTTTTTGCTTGGCATGAGTATTCCAAACGAAGAACGGGTTTCTTATACCAATTAAAGCTGCCAGGGATGGGTTAAGTTCTGAATATGGCTTGAATGGTAAAAAGATCCCAAAGCAAAGTGTTGGGCCTATAGGTTCAAGACGAATAGAGAGATTTTAAAGATTGAATAAGATTGGTCCATTAAATTTCCCGAAGACGGAAGGCTTCCTAACCCCAAACAATCCCATCAATGACGAAGGCCACTAGGGCGAATCTCCAGGCGAGCCAGCCTCCGTCAGCTGCAGGAAGGTCAGTTGGCTCTTGTTGTATTGCCACCGCCCCGTTATCCGGCTCGGTAATCTAGATGGCGGTCGTCGTTCTTCAGAGTCATTCTTTTGAAGTGAAAATGAGGGTGGGGATGCCTTGGAACACACCTTGTAATCAACCGCGCCGGATTGCCTGTGAGGGTCTTCGTTGATTTCGTGCGTCATTTGTAAAAATTAATAGCAAGCAGAAACGAGATGTTATCTGAAATGCTTCTCCGAGAAGGAAAGAGGCTATCAAATCGGATATCAACCATCAGCGCTCTGGGTATATGTATTTTGTGGTCTTCCGCGACATCATAGATATAAATTATCAGACCAGATGACAGACACTGCACTGTTCACCAAATCGATTGCCTGAAACCAGCCCAAGGATACTAGTTTGAAGGAGTTATCAATTGCTGATCCCAGGTGATACTTGACTCGGCGTTTGAGCTTTATTCATAGCAGTATTGAAGAGCGCAGGCTTTTATCATCTGTTTTACCGAGTGACTCGTATGTGCAAGCTGATTGCTCCTGGTGTAATACAGTGCCTCAGATGGTGATTAGCAATTCAACCTCTATTTACAACTGGAGTCGGTGCTGAATGTACATGGAAGTTCTCCATGTTATTAGAGATGCGGAGAAAAACTTCAGAATATAACCTGTGGTAGATCAATTGCTGTTCACCAGCTGCGTTCTGGCTGTGGAGCGGACCAGAATGCTGATTGACACAAAATCTTTGGTGGGATAAAGGGTCGGCTTCAGTGGGATAGGCGAAATCATGAAAACAGTGTAGGCATGCGAATCCCTAGTCAGCAAGGGCTTCAGATGAGAAAAAGTTGAAATTTGGTGTATCTTCTCTAGAAATCAAATGGTTTCTGATGTCTAAATCTGTACTGAAAATGATAAGCTAAAGGTTATGTTGGGGAGGGGACAAAACACCGAGTCAATTATACCCCATGGCGCATCGCCTCCCTCACCGCACTCAGGTCAGGATGAATCAGCCCACACATCCGGTCATTTATCAGCCGATCTAGGGGCGGTTGCCCACCGCGGAGTCCTCTATGAAGGTTAACGTGAAAGTTTCGGACTCCGTGACATAGGATTTGCCCCTCAAGCCACGAGGCCTGAGGTTTATCAGTGATGCACCGCAATCCTGAATTGTTGAACTGAAAGGCGATGAACCACGAGGGGAAATAGCGCTGGCGAAATCGTCAGCATTTCTTCGTCCATCAAGTTACAAGTGGCAGATTTCCTAGACCTGCCTGATTATTACACTTGAGTCATTGATAAGAATTGCGAAACCGACTTCCAGCCCTCATCTGTGGAAAATCGCCCTCAAGAGGTGAAACTTGTCAGAGTGAACTTGTGCTGCGGTTGCTTCCGCACTGTGCACACCCGCGCCATGTAGATGCATTTTCAGGATTTTTGCACAAACTTCAAACCGCCCGACCGATGATTTTGCGGTCTTTACTCGATCCGTTTTAACATTGCCTGGCAAGCATTCTTTGAAAAATAGCTGTGATGAGATAAGATCAGTGAGCTCACTGATGAGTCTCCCTGGAGATTCAAGGCTCAGTCTGACTGAACAGGAAAGAAAGCAAACTACATGTTCCAAATGATCATCAACATCCTGGCTACCATCCATCAGCAAATGGTGTCGGAGGAAGTTGAACCATGTGAGTAGATGTGCGAGTAATTGATTTTCAAAATTATTGCATTTGATTGTGTTACAACAGTTCATGACGATATTATAATTGATAGAAGCCTAAGGAAGAGTTACATGCAATCTGAGGACAAATTGCCAAGATACAAAGAGAAGTGCCAAGATACATGAAGCCCGGAAGATATTATTGCTAAGAAGAAAGTGATTAATTTTGAAAAGAAAAAGATTATTTTTGAAAACTTTTGAGAAATCAAGAAAGTGGTTTATAAAGGATTAGTGAGAAATTCTCAAGAAGAAAATAAAAGACGAGTTGACTGAAAGCCCAAGAGTGATAAAGAGAGTGGTTTATGAATGATTAGTGAGAAATTCTCAAGACAATAAAAGACGATTTGACTGAAAGCCCAAGAGTGATGAAGAGAAAAGCCCAAGAGTGAATGATTGTAGTAAGGAAAGTGATTGATAGCTTGATTTGACTGATGTGATATTAATTGGTGAAACTTGTTTGCCAAGGTTTGAAGCAGTATCGGTGAAAATTGCATGCCAAGCGTGCTGATAAACCTTAAGCGAAGGTCCACTGGAAAAAATGGAATCAAACAAGATTAGAATTGTGTGCAACGGGCGTGCGGCTTAGTCAGAAATATCAACATACCCTGATTCCATGTAGTCTTCCGGTGTTAAGTGGACTCAATCTTCGAAACGCGGCCGGTGAAAGGTCCAAATCATTGGGACTGCAGCCTTCACAACGGTCAACAACGCTGACGACTATAGAGTTTGGGCCATAAGATGCTCGGATACTTTTTCCGCAGAGACTAATGGAAGACATGTTTCTAGTGTCAGGAAGTGTGGGAATACTATGCATAGCGAAAAAGTGAAAAGTCTACTTACGAATTGGCATCCTGATTAACCCCTTCATAACTGTCATAGAGGGTGTGTGAGATTGCTACAATGAGATCCTGATTGCCGCTCTGCTGTCCACATGAGCCCAATCCAGGAGAGTAGTCTTAAAGAAGTAAGAGAATGTAAGGACGCTATCAACAATCGCAAAACAGAATCAAAGACTTACAGTAGCATCACC